TTATATATATATATATATATATATATATATATATATATATATATATTTATAAACAACAGCAGCAACAAAAAGCTTATACTAGCAGCAGCAGCAGCTGCCGCTGGTGTGTATGTAACACACCACCAACAGCAGCAGCAACACCCCCCCGCAACAGCAACAAAAACAGCAGAAATAATAAAAAAAAAATTAAAATAAAATAAAAAAAAGAAAAATAATAACAAAAAGAATAAAAATAATTGTTAATAGAGGCAAAAAAAGAGAGAAGTCGGCAGCAGCAGCAGCAGCAGCAGCAGCAGCAGCAGCACTGCTGCTGCAGCCCCCTTCTTTTCGGGGGTAGTAGGAGCGATTCGTCTGCTGCTGCTGCTGCTGCTGCTGCTGCTGCTGCTGCTGCTGCTGCTGCTGCTGCATGCGTTTATAGGAGTTGATGAGTGTATTTACCTTTTTAAATTAATTTTATTTGTTTGTTTTTGTTTTCTGTTTGCTGTTTTTTCTTTCTCGGGGCCACAACAACTTCTCTGCTGCTGCAGCAATGTGTATGCACCCCACGTGCAGCAGCAGCTCGGTTTGTACTGTCTCCTTTCTGTCTCCTTTTTATTTTTTCTGTCTCTCTTTGTTTTTGTTGTTATCTTCTTCACAAACAACTTAGCACCTCTTACTGGAGGGGCCTGGTCGCCCCGCCCCTGCAGCAGCAGCTGCTGCACGTGCTGCTGCAGCTACTGCTGCTGCTGTTGCTGCTGCTGCTGCTGCTGCTGCTGCATCTGCTGCTGCCGTTTATGCCGAGCCCTTCTCTCCCCGCAACCCACGGGGACTTCAGCAGCGATGGCCTCCCCCCAGGTCGCGCAGCAGCAGGGGGGCCCCCACTGTACCCTCTCTGTTCAAGGGGGCCCCCGGCTTTGTGTGGGGCCCCACAGCAGGGGGCTTCATCGCGCCCCCTGGATCAGCAGCAGCAGCAGCAGCAGCACCTGCAGCAGCAGTTGCAGCAGCAGATGCAGCAGCAGCTACAGGCAACAGAGAAAGCCTGGAGAGGGGGTACCCAGCACCCAAAGCAGTCTGCGCTTGCGGGGGCCCTGGGGGCCCCCCCCTCGTCTCTGCCTCTGGGGGCCCCCAGCAGCAGCCCCGGTGCTGGGGGGGCCCCCGGGGCCCCTGAAGCTCGCGGGGGGCCCCCAGGGGCCCCAGGGGGCCCCCACTCTTCTTTTAAGATAGAGTTCAAGCAGCAGGTCCCCCCCAAGCCCCCTTGCGCGATGGCCCTGAGTACCTCCCGCCCGCAGCAGCAGCAGCAGCAACAGCAGCAGCAGCAGCAGCAGCAGCAGGGTCGGCAGCAGAGGGGGGGGGGCCCCAGGGCCCCCCGATGCTCTCATTTTATGTCTGCTGCTGCTGCTGCTGCTGCAGCAGCAGCCACCGCCAAGCCCTGCGGCCCCCTCAGCCGCAAGCACTGCCACAGCGCGCCGCGCTCAGCTCG